AAGGACTTGTGTTCAATGCCCAGGACTGTACTGAAAAATAAACAACTCATTAGCGTGGGCTCCTGACCTAGTCTTAGTGTCCCACAGACACACCAGAGATCCCACGTGCAGGGGTACAGGGCTGTGTGACAGGCCAAGGAAGGCTCGGCTCGGCTGCTGGTCTTCCCAGGAGCCAGGGAGGCTCGAGGGACCTTCCCTGCAGCTGTCAGCACATCAGCACGACAGCACTCAGCAGAGCCGTGAGAGATTGGTCAGCTTCATTTTAAGCCACCCCATGTGTGGTGCTTGTCACAGAGGCCACAGGACACGAATGCAATTGCTACACAACAAAATCATTTTCTTCAGCAGAAAGCAACACTTGTGGTTCCACAACCTTTCCCCACCTGCTGTTTGCATGGCAGTACCTCCACTGCCGGACCAGGTACTACACAGGGAAGGGCTGAGGGAGGCTGGGGGTCAGACTGCAGCCTCCCTGCCTGCTCTGCTAGACACCCCAGCTCGGGAGGAACCCACTGCAGCTCCGCACTCAGAGCACACAAAGTTACCGTCTCAAGTTCAGCTGCTAAATTTATGTAAAAACAAATTGCTGGGCTTAGTGTCACATGTCTATAATCCCAGTACTTGGGAGGCTGAAGCAGGAGGATCAACACAAGTTCAGGGCCAGCCTGGGTTATATAGTGAGTTCAAGGCCAGCCTAAACTACATAGTGAAACCCTGTCTCAAAAAAAAAGAAAAAAAACCCAACAAATTCATTTCTCACAGTTCTGGAGACTGAGAAGTCTGTAGGTGTTCTTTCTGCTGTTCAGATGCTGCCTTCAACATGAGTCCTCCAGAGAGTAACATTGTGCTCTCATGTGGTGGAAGAGCAGGACAGAGACCCCACCCAAAACACCCCCGTTCTGTGCTGGGGATTAACCCAGGCCCTGCACATGCCAGGCAGGTGTTCTGCTGCACCTCTCAGCCACTGCACAGAGCCCTCGTGAACCAAACACCTCCCAACACTGTTGCCCTGGGGGACACATTCAGACCACAGCAGTCAATCCAAGCAGAGCATCTGGCTTGCTCTGTCTGGGCACAGTGGTTCATGCTTGTCATCCCAGCACTTGGGAGGTTGAGGCAGGAGGATCACCACTGAGTAGGATGCCAGCCCAGGCTACCTAATGAGTTCAAGGCCAGCCTGAACTGCACAGTCCCTGTCTTAAAAAAAAAATTAAAAAGTTAAATATGTCCACAAAGCCTTTGAAGTCCCCCCTCAAGTGCAGGCTTATTAGTGACTCACTTCCAAAAACTGTGTGTGACTTCTAAGCAGCAATTCATGTGTCTCTTTGCTCTCCTCCAATTGCTCAGGCAGGAGGAACCAGCCACCAGGCTGTAAGCACACTCAGGCAGCTCTGTGGACTGCCCACATCCTGCCCATCTGGCCTACCCGGCCAGCCTCGGATGACCAGAGCCTTGCTGACACCCTAACTGTAGTCTCAGGAGCGTGTCAGAGCCAGCCCGCTCTGGCATCACCAGAGCTGTGAGACGAAGCTTGTGTTTTGAGGCACTGCTTGGGATGCTCTGTCACCAGTGACAGATGATTAATGCACCTCTCACCAGCTTCCAGGGAAAAGCCCGACCCCTACTCTTGCTTTTATTAAGTAAAAGTGTAGTCATTCTGTGAAGGATTCCCCTCTCTTACTGATGTTGGAGACTCCACATGGTGACTGTCAAAAACACTATCTTCCCTTCAATGCTCACCAGGCTCCCTCCTGCAAGAATTAAACCCTAAGCTGTGCTTGTTTCGGCAGCACATATACTAAGAATTAAACCCTAAGCCAGGCACCATGGTGCATGCTTGTAATACCACCTACTTGGGAGGCTGAGGCAGGAGGATCTCAAGTTCAAGGCCAGCCTGGGCAACTTACTGGACCATGTCTCAAAATAAAATTTATCCCCCCAAAGGAGGGGTGGGAACATAGAGCACTTGCCTATCATGCAAGAGGCCCTGGCTTGAATCCCTGGTGCTGGGAATAAAAGAACTGCAGCAGCAGTAGGTGCCCTGGTCTGCAGTCAGCCTGGTCTCCTGCAGGTGCCAGGTCCTGGTGCACTTGTCTGCAGTGTGCACATGAAATACTGGTAAGCAGAACTCCCACGTCATAAAAACAGTTCCATGTGCTTCCTTTTTTGGCGGGGGGGGGGGGCACCTTGCGTTTACCAGGAGGCAGGCGAAGGAACCACTGAACTAACTCCCCCCAGGCCCAATTCGCCTCCTTTCTTCCCCACCAAGGGTCCTGGCTTCTCACTGATCCCCTCTCCCAGGACAGGAGGAGTGGTGTCACTAGGGGTGGTGTCATGACCGGTCCTGGGGAGCAGCCACCTCTCTGGGGCCTGGACCAGAGTCCACACATGGGCAGGGGCCCTGCTGGGCACCCCCAGTGGCCGCTTGGGTCCTGGGGGACAGCACATCCCCGAGGTGAGCTGTGGTGTCTCCTCACTCTCTGTGACTCTGGCCCCATCCTGGGTCCAGACGTGGCGCTCACTGGCCAGTTGCCTGATGCCGTGAAGTGGAGACTCAGTCTGACTCTGACCTGGGCCCCAGTCTCTCCTTCTCCACAGGTGCCTGCTGAAGACTCCAGGGCCAACAGGAAGCCCCGTGGGGATGTTCTGCTTGGGAGATCAGGGATGGTCCTGGGCAGCAGCCAGGATGGAGGCCCGCCTCTCCCTGAGGCATGTCTCCCAACCACCCCACTGACCCTTTGGGCTCAGAAAAGGAAGTGGATTCCTGAGCTGTTTACATCCTCATTTCTTTCTTTTTTTTTCCTTTTTTTTTTTGTGCCTGGGATCAAAGGGATCCTTGCGCTTGCACAGCAGATAGGGAAACCACTGAGCTAAATCCCCGCCCTACATGCTCATTTCTTAAAATCACTGTTGTCATCAAAACAAATCATAAACAAGATGTTTAACTAGTGTCAGTCTGGAGCTCAGACCAAGATTGAGTGACTCCTACCCTGGCAAATGGAAGACACATGCTGACAGTTCAGCCGTTTTGTTTGTTTTTTTGTTTTTTGAGGCAGGGCCTTCCTGTGCAGCTCGGGCTGGCCTTGAACTCCCTATGTAGCCTGGGCTGGCCTCGAACCTGCCTTCCTCCTGCCTCAGCCTCCTCAGTGCTGGATCACAGGTGTGTGCCACGCCCAGCCCAGTTCAGCCATTTCTAAGCATGCAGGCATTTCCCTCTGGTTCATTAGGGTTAATGTTTAAGTTCACATGAGGATGACATGGGCACCCTACATTAGGCTTTGGTGACAAGAAAGCTACTTGTGAAAAGAAATCTAACCTCAGTTCCTGATTCTACTTCTTTGAGTCCCTCAAAAGCCACTTGTGGGTACTTCTGGGTTCTAGTCTTGTCCTTGCTTCCTCTACAGGCTGTGCTGGGGAGAAAAGACAGAGGTGGTAGGTGCCTATTTGCCCTAAGGCCCTGCAGGGGTCATTATCCACCCTTGCTCTCTGGCTGGGGCCTGGAAGACCACATGTAATGTCCTAAGATTTTGGTCTGATGGAAGCTGCAGCCACTGGGGCCCTGGCTCTGGGTTATAGGAGAATGTCCTGTCTGTCCTCACACCAAGCAGGCCAGCAGGGACCCTGCCCCGGCACTGGCTGTGGTTTGGAGCAGCTGTGGAGAAGAGTGGGGATGCTGCAGTGGCACAGAGGAGCTCCATGTGCTGACAAGTGGCCACCCTCACATAGCAGCCCCAGGACATCTGAAGACTCCTGGGCCAAAGGAGGAGAAGGCGCCCAGCCCAGTAGGCTGTTGACAGGAGAGGCCTGGAGCCAGGCTTCCATCCTCTGGGGAGGAATTGCAAGGATGTGTGGCATGTCTGGGCTGGCTTGGGAAACGTGACCCTGTCCTTCCAAAGCCTGAATCTGTAGGTAGCTGGTCCTGAGGAACCCCCTGAGGGCTCCCTGAGGACTTGTAACTGCCATTCACTGATGCCTGGCCGCACCTAGCTGGAGACAACCCTCAAAGTCCAATAGTCAGGAGGAATCAGAGCAGAGGGCCGGGGAAGTGCCAGGACTCCAGAAGGCTCTCAGGACAAGGTTCTTCAGGGAAGCTGCAAAGTCCTCAGGGTTCAGGGGCAGTGGGGCCGTTGCAACACAGTGCCAGGGATGGGGCTCTCTGGAGAACAAGCACTTCTGAGTAGGGGCTCCACACTGCCCACAACTGCTCACAAAGCTGTCAGTCTGGAGGTCAGACTGCTCACAGTGACCTGCTGGGGTCCTTGGCAGAGAATGGACCCACAGCAGACTCAGGCCTGGCCGCAGCACCCCCCTCGCCCCCACCCAGCCCCTGTGCGATGACTCCGGGTTCTAATGCTGGCCCAGGGTGCCTCCTTTGGGCCAGGAGTTCTCAGAGGAAGCCATGCCATCACACTGGAGTGCGGAAGCCCCTACTCACCATGCCAGACAGCTCTGCTGCACACAGGCACACAGCGCTGGCACAGTGATGGAGTGAGTGGCCCCTGTCCAGCAGTCCTCAGTCCAACTTCCTTCTTTTCTTTTTTCCAGGGCTGAGGATTGAACCCAGGATCTTTCCACAGAGCTTCAACCCCAGCCCTTTTTTATTTTTTGTTTTGTTTTGTGTTTTTGGTACCGGGGATTGAACTCGGAACCTTGGGCTTGCAAAGCAGGTGGCAGAACCACTGAGCTAAATCCCTGGCCCTAGCCCTTTTTTATTTTGAGACAGGGTCTCATTACATCACTAAATTGCCCAGATGGGATTCGAACTTTTGATCGTCCTGCTTCAGCCTCCCAGTGCTGGGAGTACAGGACCTCCTTGTTGGTTCAACTCAATGTTTTCATCCTCTGCCCTCCACCCTTGCCCACCTGCTCTGTGAAGCCACTCCCCACAGAAAGACAGGCAGATGCTTTGCTGTTGCTTGTTGGCTGGACTGGAGCTGGCTTGAAGGATGTGACCTCATGTGACCATGAGCCGACCAAGCAACCCAGCATGAGGACCTGCAAATTGTGCCACAGCCACTAGGTTTATTAAGGTTGCCACCACATCCACTAGAGGGCCACCAAGACGGGCCCAGCCATGCCTGGCCTGGTGTCTCAATGGGAGGCCATGTCTCACATCCTGGCGGCTCCTCCCGGGAGGGCCCATGGTCTGACAAGGACTGGACGCCCAGAGTGCGGAAAGAGAAGCATGAAGCTGGGGGTGCGGGGTGGGGGACAAAGCAGAAACAAGACTTGCATCTAGACAGAGTTGAACAAAATCCCAAACCCGAACGTGCTCCGTGGCTGCGGTGTCCGGGGCCCTAGCCGGACATCTCCTCCCGCTGCTCCTTGTTCCTGCGCACCTCTGCCGCGTGCAGCTCCTGCGAGGACGGAGCGGGAGCTGAACATGCGGTCTGAGGGAGGGGCTGCCTGTGGCCGCTTTGCGACTCAGCTGTCGGGGGCGCCCTCCCTGCCCGGTCTCGGTAGGACTGTGGGGCAAGGGGTGGAGGCTGACAGGGGACTCGGAGGGGTCAGCGGAGCGCTGGTGGGCGGGGCAGGGACAGGGCTCAAGGGCCAGTCTCGGGGGCTTCCCTGACCCTCAACGTAAAGGCAGCTCCACCCGCTTCGAGGTGGTTTCTGGTTTGTGCTCCTTCAGAGCGGTCAAGACGTGTGGGCTCCCCGCACAGGTCCGGGCTGTTTCCCAACCGGTCCGCCCGAGCCAGAACCCCGCCCCCAGCGCCCCCGCGCCCCGCCCACCTTCTCGCGCAGCCGCTCGCGCAGCGCCGCCAGGTGCGCCTCGCGGATCTCCTTGCTGAGCTCCATCTTGTAGTTGAGCTTCTCCTCCGCCTGGCGGCTGAAGTTGTTGTTCTCCTCCAGCGCCTTGTGCAGCACCTCGCGCTCGTGCTCGCGCCGCTCCGCCAGCTGCTTCAGGACTTGCGCCTCCTGCGTCTGCGCGGGGCGGGGTGTGAGGGCCCTGTGGGGCGCTCCTGACCCCGGGCGGGGCAGGCGCAGGGCTGGCCCTCCCGCTGCGCGTGGACACGCGTGTGTCCTAGGAGCTCGGGCCCACACTGTCCTACTGCTCTCGGCGACCTTGCCTGGACCTCCCAGACTCCGGCACTGAAAATCCCACTCGCCTGGCCGAGAGACCCTGACACTCAGCCCCCTGGCCCTGTCCTTGGCCCCAGAGCTGCTTCTCTCCTGTTGGCTGGGACACCTGTGCAGGGCAGGCCCCGTCCTGGCCTCTGTCCCTCCCGAGCCTGGAAATGTTGACAAAGCACAAGTTCTGAACTCTTGGGCTTCGGAGGCCCTCGTTCCCAGACATCAGCACGCTGAACACTGAGTGGATGCTTGATGCACAGCGGGCCCTAACGCCCCAGTAGCTGCTTGAGGACAGCAGGAGGGTCGTTTCCAGGGTCTGGGAAGAGATGAGGAATGTGGGACCATTTATGCCACACTGTGGTCCCTGCTAGGGGAAAGGCTGCCTGGTGACCCCTGGAGAACAGAGACGCCATGCTCCCAGGGGAAATTATCTGACTAGGTCTCCTGAATGCTGTTGGGACCCCACTCAGCTCCAGGGCTGCTGGTTAACCCTTCGTCCTGCCTGTGTGTGGGACTGAGCCACGTTCCCACCAGTAGGTTGGGGATCCATGATCCCACTCCTAAGAGGGCATCCTTCTTGTTTTGGTTTCATAGGGAATGGGGTGGAATAAGGACCATAGCCCCAGCTCAAGATCTTTAGATGGGATGCCCTTCCTCAGGGGAGTAAGATACTCCCTGCCCTGGAAAAGGTTGCCAGCCCCAGCCTCATGCCCTGGGGACCACCTGACCCTCCCCTGGCCCTGACCAAGGGTGCCCACAAATGTTTGGTTCCTGTCTTCCTCCAGTGGGCGCCATCTTGGCATGCTTCCTCCCCACCTCATTCCAGTCTCTCAAGAGAAGAACCAAGGAATGAGGCGTCCAGGTCCCAGAGCAATGCCTTGACCAGGAAGGGGGCCCGGACCAGCCCGTCTGGGGAGCCCCATTGGTAGTGCTCACTGAGGCCCTGGCCACCTTTGTCACTCATGGGGAGCGGTATCCTTGCCTTCCTCCGTTCCTCAGCTGCCTCCAACCGCTTCCGCAGCTCCTCCAGGGAGATGTCCTTCCTCTTCGGGGGAGAAGACAGCACAGGGCTCTCTGGGGATAGGTCAGAAGGGGACTTGAGGATGACCTCAAAGCTCTGGCCAGAGGCTCGCTTGTCCAATTCTTTCACCTCCATGTCTGCAAGATAAGACCAGGTGGGGCTTCAGGAGGGCTGGCCAGAGATGGTGACCGGTGGCAGCCCTGGCTCTAGCACGTAGCCCAGTCAAGGACTAAGGGAGGAGTGGAACTGTTCCTGGGGGCTCCCAGGCCTGGCTTCCTCCTCCCAGGTCACCCCCCAACAGAAGGTGTCCCAGGAGGCAAGAGGGAAGATGGGCAGCCAGCCAAGCAGGGCAGGGGAGCAACAGCGCAGGCGCACTCACCCCCATACTGGTAGATGGTGCTGGGATGAGGCTGTGCGTAGAAGCAGGAGCAGATGAGCGATAGAACAGACAGCTCCTTCATCTTCTCTTTGTACGCTGTGGACACGAGACCAGGGTAAGCAGGCACACTGACACCCCACGCCCCCAGGTCTTCCCACCAGGGTCCCACCTTCCCTTTCGCATCTCGGAATCTGGTGGGTCTCTCTGGGAGACACAATGTTGTGCTAAGTAGCTACATCTCTGACTTTGGCTCTGGGGGTGTTCCTTGCACCATTTCCTCTCTGTTTCTGTCTCACTGTCTCTCTCTCCTTCCCCGACCTTTTTCTCTCTTGGCCTTTCTGTTTGTCTCAATCGTGTGTGTGTGTGTGTGTGTGTCTCTTTCACACTGCTTTTTACCTCTTTTTTTTTCTGGTACCAGGGATCGAACTCAGGACCTGTGCTTTCGAGCCAGGCGTGGTGCCACTGAGCTGAATCCCAGGCTGTCTCTGTCTTTTGTTCTCTGCATATGTTTCTCCCTGCCTCCTGGAGTTTAAATGTTTGTGTCCTCCCAGAATTCACATGTTGAAACCCTAACCTCATGTTGCTGCCGGGAGGTGAGTGGGTCAGGAGGGTGGAACCCTCCTGAATGGGATTAGTGCCCTCATGGCACAGCAGCCCTTCCAACACGTCTATGAGCCAGGAAGCAGCCCTCACCAGACACTGACAACCTTGAACTGCCAGCATTCAGGTCTGTGAGGAACAAATTTCTAGTGCTTAGAAGACACCCAGTCTGAGGTATTTTGCTAGAGTCTAAGCAGGCTGAGCCACTCCCTCTGTCTGGGTCTCTGTTTCTCCTTCTGACTCTTGTCACTCTTTGCATCTTCTACACCTCTGGACACATGCCTTGCACTCTGTTTCTTTTCTGAGTGTGACTCTTTCTCACTGAGTATCTTCTCACCCTCTCCTCCCTCCCTGCCCTGTCCTTTGCTGGCTCAGAATTAACCACCACTGTCAAGATGGGGGCCAGCACTGACCCTCCCTCTTCCTTTCCCTCTTCCCTCCTTGCCTCTGCCTGCACAGGTTCTTGCTGTGCTATCCAGGCTGGCCCAAACTCCTGGGCTCAAGGGGTCGCTCTGCCTCAGGCTCACTACTAGCTGGGTGCACACCTTCGGGCCTGGCTGGGCAGCACTTTCTGCACTGTAAACTTGGGTGAATACTTCAATGCCCCTGTTTTCTCCCCATTTACCCTGAGGGTAGCATAGCCAGTGAGTTGAAGCTTAGTTCTTGACAGATACACACTTACTGCCCCCATCCAGGTAGATGTGGGCCCCAGCTGCCATCAAAGACAATGAAGCTGAATATTCAGCATCACAGTCCACCCTCTTGCCCTTCCAGATCAAGTGCCCACCAGTAGTGTTCCTGCTGCCCAACCAGAAAAGAAGGTGTGCCTGGCAACTGTGGCCCCGGCTCCTGCAAGCAGAAGGGAAAGATATTTACTCTTAGAATGGAAACATTTAGCTATTTGTGGTCCATTCACTGTGAGCCAACTCCAACAAAGACATGTGGGCCCATCACCTCAGTAATGCTCAGCAGTCTGGAGCCCAGTACAGTTACCCTGGTCTACAGGAATCACACTGGGGCCTCCCCTCCTAGGATGACATGAACAGTGTTCCTCACAGTCCAGTCCCAGGTTCTGTGTTCTTCCCACCACTCTCGAAGGTCCCAAAGAGTAGGGCTTCTAGTCCCAGGTGGAAAGACAAGTATACATCTGCAGAGAAACGCTCTCAGAAGAGGAAGTTGGTTCCCAGGCATGGCTACCTACCAACATTGTTCAAGGGGGCACACAAGGACTTGGACAAGCACTTAGATAGACAAGAGACTTTTCATGTGAGATTTTTTTCCCCAATACTGAGGATTGAACCCAGAGCCTTCACACTGAGTGTCATCCCAGTTCTTTCTATTTTTAAATTTGAAATAGGGTCTCACTGAATTGCTGTTGCCCAGGCTGGGCTTGAATATGAGATCCTCCTGCCTCACCCTCCCAGAGTGCTGAAAATAATGGTTTTCAATTGAGTTGATATGAAATTGGGAAAACTGTTAGTACAGAGACAGGATACAGAGCCAAAATGACCAAACCTTTCATGGTGAGCTGGATCCTTCTGTGACTAGTGTAGAGCATGATCTTATTTGATCTAAACTTCCTGGTGATACAGACTCATCTGGAAGTAAGACAGATCCTAAGGGACTGTAAAGGGAGCAGAAAGGACCCCAGGGTGAACACATATGGAGGACAGCCTTTGAGGGAAGAAGATGCATGTCTCGGGCATTGTCTTCGGAGGCTGTGGAGGGAGGTAGAGGGAGTCAGGGAGGGCCAGGCCTCAGAGAGGACTTTGGTTCAACTTAGCAAGTTTCATTTTTTCACAAGCAAAATCTATTCATGTATTTCTCGTGTTGCTAAAGGTTAATTCAACCAAGGAGGCAGAGGATGCATATCCTAGGTCATGTGATGAGCTAGAAGGTGTACGAGACAGCTGTTTAGCACCAGTAGGTCAGGACACCTCTGGGGCATGTGGGGAAGCCACCCCTGGCTCAGGAAGCAGGAGAGGATCTGGGCTGGGCCAGGACAGATGTGGATGCCAGGAAAAGCCAGGAAGAAGGGGGTCTGGCTCCGCCAGCACCGACCACCAGCACCCAGCTCTCTGCCAACAGATCCCTGCCCTCACCTCGGCCTTTCAGACATCTTTCCTTACCATGCACTCAAAACCCTGATAAGTTTCCTGCAGGCCCTTTCTGCCTGGGCCTGAAAATTTCACAGGAAAAACAGCTATAGAGGAAGAACAAGTTTCAGTAAAAGCACCAGCAAGTTCCCATCCTGTCACCTCAGGGTGAGGAGGGGAAGGAGGGCAGGGACTCAGGGAACAGGTGCTAGCATGGGCAGGTGGAAGCATCTGCATCACCAGGCAAGGACAGAGGAGGGGCTGGTGACATGGACCAGAGCTCTCTCGGGTCCTGTGTCCTGTGGCTACAGACATGGCACAGCTCAGCATCTGATGGTCAGAGAGATTCCGTTGTTTGGCTTCTCCTACGTTCATGGTCCACAAGGAGCTGCCTTCCCAGAAGATTGGACCTCAAGGAACTGGTGGGACAGGGAAGGGCTGAGAGCAAAACCTGCTTTGCGGCCTGGATGCAAGAGGGAGAGTAGGCTGGAGGGGACAGGGTGGCAGTGGAGGAATAGGCAAGCTTTGGAGAAACTGAGCAAGGGGAAGCCCACATGTGGGATTGGTGCAGATCTGGGCCAGGGCTGGCTAGAGTACAAGGCAGGAAGTTAGACCTGAATTTTTGGAGCTGGAGAGGCTTTAAAAGCATGTCTCCTCAGATGAGGATTTGGAGGCCCTGACAGGTTAACTAGCATGGGCAAAGCCCCCAGCACAAGGAAGTCAGACTCCAAGTTGCATAAGGAGCTGAATAGGAGATGGCGTGTACAAGTTTGAGGAGCAGAGTGGTGGACGATGCCAAATGATGCCAAGCCTTCCAAAGTCAGTCCAAGAGGGGGCCTCACTACAGCACTGGAAGGGGAAGGCTCAGCCACCTGCAGTGTCCTCAGACCTGTGGGCAGCCCTTTGTGCAGATCTGGAGCAGATGCTGGCTCTGGAGGGACAGAGCTGCCCTCAGGGGCCAAGGCAGAGCCCCATTCTGCAGTATCCCTGGGTGGGCAGGGTTGGCGAAGCCCAAATGGCAAGACTCCCAGATAGGGTGGGGAGACCTGTAGACAGGGACAAAGGAAGTCCATCCAGGGGAGGTGCAGAAGACCACAGGGTCTGGGCGCAGGGGCCAGGGCGGGACACACATGGGTGGGCAGAGTTTGTGCTTGGGGGCCCGAGGTAAGCGCTGGCTTGAAGCAAGGTAGTCGGTAGAAAGCGGTGACCGCCCTCAGGGCAGAGGGAATGGTACCCAGGAGCACAGTTCCTGGGCCAGAGGGGAATGGCGAGGGGTAGGGGCCGCCCATTCAGCCATTGCCAGCTCCGAGGAGGGCAGGGCTGCGCATCCAGTGTGTGGGGGCAGGGCGGGGTCGCCCTGCAGCTTCCTCCGGTCCAGTACTTGCCCCGTGCCCGCCTCAACGGGTCTGCAGCGCAGCAGGCAGTGAGGAGGGAGAGGCGGGCCTTCCGCCCAGGGAGGGTTTGGAAAGGGCAGAGTCCCCTCCCCCACCAAGCCCGGAGCGCCTGGGGTGGCCTGGGCAGGTGGCCCGGAGTCGGAGGGTGACCCCGAGGCTGCGGCGCTCTGGAGTGGGGGATGGCCACGCACGGCCGGGTGCGGCCCCACTCGCCGGGCCAGTCCTCGGCGTCCTCCAGCCCCTCCCCGGGCGCTCTGATGGCGATGGCGCGGCTCCTGTGCGGGCCGCTCTCCCCCTCCCCCTCCCTTTCCCCCGCGGGGCCGGTCAGACCCCACGATGGAGCCGCGGCGCTCGGGAGACCCCCGACCAGCGAGGCTTCTCGGGCGCTGTCCCAGGCCGGAGGCCCCTGACGCCAGCGCCTGGAAGGGTGGTGCCCGCGCCCGATGCCTCGCCCCGCAACCGGTCAGGTCCCCGCCCCTGGCGCCTGGGCGCCAGGACCCCCTCAAGGTCCGACACAGGAGACGCGAATTGTAACCGGCGCTGCGTCAGAGGAGGCCGGCGATGGCCTCGACTCAGCCCCGCCGCGCTGGAAGCCCGCGGCCCGGACGCCTACCGGACACGGTGCTGGCCATGGTGCTGGTGGCGGCCGGGCTGCGGAGAGGCGCGGGTGGCGGCTGGAGCTGCAGTGTGAATGCTGCAGTGCTGGGGAGGGGAAGGAGTCAGTGCGGCGGGCGGGCGGGAGGGAGGGGCTGCAGCCCTCGCGGGGCGGAGGGAGGGAGAGGGGAGCTGGGTTGCCACAGGCGCTCATCCTGCATCCTGCATCCTCCATCCTCCAGCCACCGAGGACCGCTGCTCCCCCTTCTTGGCTTCGCGTGGGCTCGGGGCATGTGGAGAGGGGCCCCCTCCCCAGAATGGGCATGGCAGGGCCAAGGCTGGAGGACAGGGTGGGGGCACGGCTCTTGGCAGAGGTTGCTAGAGGATGGATGATGGCTCCAGGCTCCAGCGGAGTGGGAAGGGGGCAGCCTTCGGACGGGGCCAGCAGGGCAGAGATGGGGGTGGTGCAGCAGCTGGAGGAGCTCTGAGCACAGGTCTGTGTGGAGAAGAGGGGCAGGCACTGGCATGGGAGGCCTTTGCCTCTGGGCCATCGGATGGACAGGTTGTGGAGAGAGGAGAGGGCAGTGGGAGTGGTACGGCCTAGAACAAGGGCAGGCGTTGAAGTGAGGTTCCTGCAGGCAGTGGCATTCTGCGTTTGACTGAGAGTGAGTTTCTGACTTCTCTGGGCCCTGGTTCTCAAAGTGTGAGATGAGACCACCAGATGAGGCCAGGCTTCGAGGGTGGAAGAAGAATGTGCCAGAGCTGCCCATGTACTTGTTGGCGGGCGCCATCGTACCTCCCTAGAGAGGCTGGCAGGCAAATGGTGCCTGTTTTAGGGCTGCAGCCATGAGACCAAGAGCAGAAGGGCTTACTCCACAGGCAATTAAGCCATAGGTCCAGGAATAGAATTCTTGGAATCCTTGGAAGACTTGCAGGGAGATGAGGCCAGCTTTGAAAGGCAAAAGCCAGCGGCAACCTAAGGACTCAGGTTAGCTTGGGGCAAGCCCTGCAGGATGGCAGGAGCAGCTCACGGTCACACATAACCCAAGTGCCCTAAGAGTCCTGCCACCACTGTACATACTGGCATCAGGCCTTCAACTGTCAGGGTTAGGTGCACTATGTGGTACAGAAGTCCTGAGTACTGTCATCTCATCTGGTTGACCTTTTAAAAGCAGACTTCTGTCTGACTAGTTGAAGAAGTTTGAGAGTTTAAAAGCAAGGAAGGCTCTCTGTCACTGAAATGAGGGGCCAATTGGCAAGGGTATAAGAGCTGCTCCCAGCTGACAGCCTTCAGTGCTGCAACCACAAAAGAGATGAATCCTGTAATTCCAGCACTCTGGGAGGATGAGGCAGGAGGATTGCAAGTTTGAATCCAGCTTGGGCAACTTAGTGACTTAAATGAGATCCTGAGTCAAAATAAAAAATAAAAAAGCTGAGGATGCAGTTTGATGCAAAGGCCTGGGTTCACTTCCCAGCACCCCCCCACCCCCACCCCCACACGTGAGCATGCACGCATGAATATTTCCAATATGAATGAGCCTGGAAGCAGATTTGCCTTCAGAACCTCCAGAGAGAACTCAGCCCAGTGGGCAACCTTATTTCACCCTTGGGATATTAAGAACTATACACTAATACATGAGGGTTGTATTGAGCAGCTGAGCTTGTAATATGTTATGCAGGCATATCAACCTACTATGCGCGCGCACACACACACACACACACACACACAGCTACACTTGTGTGCAACATTCATTGGAACTTGGCCCTGGGAGGGAGTTGGAAATGGAGAGATGCAGACAGAGCTGTTCCTAACACTGGTGTTGATCCTGGAAGAAGCAACCATATCTCCTGAATTGGCCACTGCAGCTGTGGCTGGTTAATGTCAGTGTTCCTCAGAAGGACTCTGCTCTAGATACTAGAACTCAGGTGCTAGGATCAAGAGGAGTAGCCCTTCCAATCCCTCCAGACCTTCCAGTCTTATCTTGCCCAGGCAGGCTCAAGGGACTGTAGGGCTCAGATTCACCTTGAGAAGCACCCTCCCACTTATTATTAGGACCTATTAATTTGACAGAATGTTGAATTTCAATGTGTATATTTAAATCATATCCGCCCTCCTCATTCCATGTCCTTGTCTGGGCCATGGATACAAGCTGTGCAGGAAGCCCTTGGCATATTACCAGCACACAGTGGGTGCACACAGATAGCGCCCATAGTAGCTGTAATGTTTGCCCCAAAATGGTGCCAGGCCTTGAGCAGATTTTGACCTGTTACCAAGGTCAACTGCAGGAAATTCATAAGGAACCATTTCAAAGATGCTTATTTGTAAACTGTGAGTTTACACATAAGACTCCCACAGAAATCTCCCAAAACTAACCCTAACCTTTTATAGCAGGACCCCTACATATCACTAGCACCCTCAGCAGGACACTCAGTCATGCAGCAAATGCCTGTCAAATGTATACCAGATACAGCTGGCAGTCAATTAGCAGTAAGAGGACAGGACAGGGGTACAGGAGCCCTGGAAGTCCCATGCCATGATGAACACCCCAGGATCAGTGGACAATGAGGAGGCTCCGAGAGGCAGATGCACACTTTCTTTCACCCAGCTCTGCACAAACCCCTTCCTTTACATCCTTCCCAACCTCCCAGATACCTGCACAGCAGAGATTACTTCATTCTTGGTTGGAGCAGGGGCCTTAGACTTACCTTGATTCCTCGCTCCAGCTTCATCAACCCCTTTGAACGCCTCACACTCTGAAGGGCCTGTCACTTTCCAGTTAACTCTCAGACTTTCCTAGGATCTGCAATGTGACTTTTCCCACACCAATCTTCAGGGAAGCCTTCTCTGGCTTCTGGTCAAGGCAGAACCCACAAATTCCCTTGAATTTCCTTATATTTCCCTTCCTTGTATTCATCAATTTGTAATGCAATGTTGTGTGACTGGTCACATCTGTCCTATGGTCTAGGTGGCATTTTGTCCAAAGTAGGAGTCCCTCAAAGCCTACCAGAACAGATGCTTAATTCGAGTTTGTTGACTTGGTCGGGATCGGTTTGTCTGGAGAGTGTGGCTTTCTGGGGTCCAGTTTGCTCCCATCCCCTCATCTCTCAGGTCAGGCTCGGCAGAATGGCTTTACCTGTTATGGTTCACAAGAGACCGTGCAGGCTGTCTTAGAGGCCCTCTGTGATGGGGCCAGATGGGGGCCAGCACTGCCTTTCTGTGACAGAGGCACCTCCAGTCAGTTCAGGGGCTCAGAATGCTCAGCTTCTGTCCTGCCCCAGCAAGTTCCCAAGTCTCTGGATCTTGCACTCTCCTTCCTTAGTCTTCTGGGTGATGAACACTCTGGCTCTCAGGATATGGTTGGTGAAGAGGGATTCTGGCTCCTTTTCAGGCTTTGAGCAATCTACTAACTACTCTGTAACATACAAAGGGTGGTGGATAATGAAAGAATTGATCTCAGAGATCAGGCAATATAGATGTGTCAATGCACATGTGGATGCTATTGAAACCTGGGCTTGGGGCCCATCCAAGTATGTGAGGCCTACCTCATCTTCTCCAACTCCTGAGCAAGACGTGAGAGTGCCTGAGATAGACTGCAGCAGGTGCATGGGTGGGTGATACAGTGTGTCAGGGACTGCCCAAGAGTGACTACACACACATGAGCATGGGTAGGCATAGGCATACACATGTGCTATCAGCCGGAAAACATCTGGGCATTACACAGAGTCTAGGAGAGGCTCTGAAAAAAGCATCATTTGCTGGCTGTGGACTGTGATGTTAATTTCTCCCTGGTGCCTTTTGGGACATGCTGGAGTCGCCTGGCACAAATATCTCTGACCATTAGGCTAACCCTAAGGAGTGTGCAGCCTCGCACTCCTGGGTCGCCCTGTTGACTGCCGGCTAGTCCTAGGTGCCAAGGATTCAGAGAGGCCTTCCCTGACCACTGAGGTACACTGACCGGAAAAGAGGCTGGATCGATGGGGACAGTAAGGAGAGGAGGTGGTGAGGGCCCTCAGGAGCGGGCCCTGGTCAAGCGGTGGCAATTTGTGGATTTAATGGAAAGCAAGCGCCTCAGACTCTGAGTAAAAAGATGCCTCTGAGAGGAGCGGGCGGGAGCCGCTGGAAAGCGAGGAGCCTGCGCAGTTGTGTGGCAATGGCGATGCTTGGACGAGGAAGGTGGTAGAGGAATGGAGACCATGGCAGGGACCATGTCGAGGGGGAGATGGGCGAGACGCGGAGACGCAGCTGCTGTTCACGGAAGAGTCAGCGACAGGGCCAGGCACAGCGGGCCCGCAGGAGCGTGGGGCTCCAGAGAACAGACGGGCCCAGCGGCCGGGGAACGGTTTCCTCCCGGAGCGCTGAGTCGCGGACCGGAAGTGAGGGCGGAAGTGCAGAGCGATCATTCCGCGAAGTTTGAACCCGCAGACAGTGGAGGACGCGGCGCTCCCAGGGTCCGTTGGGTTCTACAAAACCCGGGTTCTGCAGAAATCCAGATTCCCAGCCCAGATTCTGCAAAAGCTCCCCGCGGAGACGAGTGAGCTGTGAGTTGCTGAAGTCCTACAGTCGAGCAGCTCGCGGGCAGGGTGGCGCAGCCCGGAGCTCCGGTTCGCTGAAGGCCCCGCGTGCGGTTCCGGCGCTGCCCTTGGGGCGGCAGTCTTTCCGCACATAGACAGTGCGTCTGTCGGTCCCACCTTCCAGACTTGACGGAGGCGTGGAGATTGATTGCTCCGGACTGCACGGCTTTGCGTCACTTGAATTATTTTGATTAGAACACATAGACTGTGCCCCCTTGGGCTCCTGTTGTTTCTGTGAGCCCGGGCCGCCTTATCAGAGTAGGATGATGGAGTTTTGTGGGGCAGAACTAGGCAGGTTGGTTCACTTGTCATCTTCACGCCCTTTGGATCCTTGTAATAGGATATAACATGCTTGCCTTCTGACTTTCTCCACAGGGGAGACTTCCTAAAACGACTGGTGAAGTGGTCTGTGTGTGCGGTAGAGATTCTTGCAGAGAACAGCACTGTGTCTCAGTGCCACGTGCTGAGTGGCTGAGACCCTGAGATGGTCAGAGAGAACACCAGAAGGGGTTTGTCTCACCTACACAAACAGCCTGCACTTCAGCCAACCACTGTGGCCCCTGAGAACAGGTTGATATGCCCAAGATAGTCCTGAATGGTGTGACGGTGGATTTCCCTTTCCAGCCTTATCAATGCCAACAGGAGTACATGAGTAAGGTCCTGGAATGTTTGCAGAAGGTAAAGCTGGAGACCCTAAGGAATTTGTTCTAGTCATGGGTTGGCTGAAGTAGAGCTTTAGGAAAAACCTAATGTACTTCTATTCCACGTCCGTTCCAGCCAGGCCCCGAATTCTGTCACAAATTGGTCTTCTAGGTGGGAGAGCCGACATTGAGTGACCCAAAAAAATCATTCTAGATGGTGAGGGGTTGGGAGTGCCTTGGGCGCCTCTCTGAGGAGATGGCATTTGAGCCAAGGTTGATGAATGTGGAGTGACCTTATTTGGGAGTCTGGAGGAAGTGTTTCTGTGTCGAGGGGCATCGTAGAAATGCATCTCTCACTTTGGGAATGTCTCTAAACTTCAGGGTGTGTCGGGCAATGGAAGGGGGCAGATGGCTTTCTATTGGGTTGCTTGGGGTGCCTTCTTGTACCCTGTTCACTCCTCCAGCAAGTTTCCTGCTCAGGCTTCTGTCTGAGAGCTCATATATAGGACATCAGATTCTGTTTAGATAGGACACGATAAATGCCTGGATCCAGAATTGCAGAACAGTTTCCTATTTTGAGACTTGGCACCTAATTAGTCATCTTACTATTTATATTTGGCTGAAAAATAGTCTCATTTTGGGTACTCCTTTGCAGATTGTTTGCTGATGAGGGCTGAATTAACCCGTGGCTTTTAGGGCTACAGGGGGAAATGTCACAGGGATTAACCCACCTCCTGTGGGGCTTTTGCACCTGATGGTCAGTTATGCACCTGGGAAGATCTATTCCACTGGTTGCTGGGCTTGTCCCAAGGTGTGTGGTCTCACGTCTCTCCTGGTTCCCTGTGACTCCTTTTCTGGACCTTATTCAGAAAGTGAATGGCATCCTGGAGAGCCCCACAGGCACCGGGAAGACACTCTGCCTCCTCTGCACCACACTAGCCTGGCGGGAACATCTCTGGGACACTGTCTCTGCCCGTAAGATTGCTGAGAGAGCACAAGGAGAGCTTTTCCTTGATCAGGCGTTGTCAGCCTGGGGGAGTGCCACTGCTGCTGATGGAGAACCCATAGGTAACCCTGCTTCTCGGCCTCTCCTGGCCTTGCATGGCGATGGTAGGGGATGGGTGGAGCTGGGGACCTTGGCTTTTCCCATCTCTAGAGCAGAGTAGAATAAGGAGAATTTTGTAGCCTCTATATCGCTTCTCACTGTCATGAATATAAACACAAGATCAGAGCTTTTTCTTGGAACTAGGACACCATGGGCAGGCCCTTAACCGATTTCCACAAGTGACTATCTGTGTGTCACTTTGTGCTGTCTGAGGGGTGGGTTAACACAATGCTGCCTGTGTTACACACAAAGACGTTGCCTTAGAGCCATCCATTTTGTGCTTCCTGTGTCTGGGCAGCTTGCTACACAGATATCCCAAAGATCATCTATGCCTCCAGGACCCACTCGCAGCTCACACAGGTCATCAATGAGCTTCGGAACACTGCCTACCGGTGGGTCAGCAGGTTCACACCTGCTTCAGTTACTCAGAAAATGTGCTTTGCATGTAGCGGGGTCCTCAGCCCAGCTGCATGTGTGCAGTTTTGCTGCATGGTGTTAAATGATGTTCTTTCTCGACCCACCCCGGGATGTGTAGTGTTTTGTTTGCAATGGGAGGGTGATAGCTGGGCTGGCTCTGGTGGCTATTACTTGTGAGAAAGCAGCTTTGGACTTACAGTTGTCTGTGAGCTGGCACCCCAGGCTCCTTGCAAGGCTGTTGTGTTGGCCATCAGGACTCATCCTTTGGGGCAGCTTTGCTTATGAAAGGGGGAGGGTCTGCTCCTTGCTAGAATTCTGCTGAGTCTTGATATCTTGCCCTGGCTTCTGTGTGAGGGGCCTTGGAAAGTAGGTTGCTGTCCCCAGTTTTTTCTGCCTTGTCTCCTGCTCCTGTCCCAAGCCTGGGTCACAGTCCAGCCACTCTGATCCCTCTGCCTGTCAAGTTTCCCATGTGCTCCCATGTGTTTCCACCTGGCTTATGCCGCTGGACCACACTGTGGCCCATCTGTTTTACGTGGAGGCAGATCCTCCTTGACCCGTGGTTTTCTCTTTTGCCAGGCCAAGGGTGTGTGTGCTAGGCTCCCGGGAGCAGCTGTGCATTCACCCAGAGGTGAAGAAGCAGGAGAGTAACCACATGCAGGTGGGTTCCCAGGGACCCACCCCACCCCTACGGTTCTGCCTGGCAGGTCCTGCTGGGGCTTTAGAGTCTCCAGCTGTGCTCCAGCAGGTGCTGACCTCTGACTCTTAAAGTGGATAGAGGAGGGATGTGGAGGAGCTGGTGAGGGCTGAGGGATGGGTGGGTCCTTGGCCACTGCTCCAGCTATGCGCTCTGCCCTTCCTCGTGCAGATCCATTTGTGCCGAAAGAAGGTAGCAAGTCGTTCCTGTCATTTCTACAACAATGTTGAAGGTAAGAGCAGCCCCCGAAGCCACTCCCTGTGGTTGACACACAGTAGAGTCAGATGAGGCATGTACAGCCCCTGCGGCTAGTTCATTGGCATCACATCCTGCTTGCTTTGCCCTCTTGGGATAGCCAGTATTGTCTTGGGATAGCCTGGCCACTGTCTTCTGACTTGAAGGGTCACCTGAATTGGTATTATGTGCATAAGCTCACACAATAGCCTGTTGGCTATCTGGTCCTTGGCTGACATCTGAGAACTTGGATTTGGGGAGGGTTCACAACATCTTTTGATAAGAAGACTCTCTGTACCTAACCTGTTTGTCCAAAAGTCACCTGCTTTCCCCTCTGGGAACCTGGGACCCTGGCTGGGACCTTGGAACCTTGGTACATGTGAGGCAGCAGGTGCCTCTGTATTGCCTTTGTGATAGTCCCTTAAGTACTGGGTGCAGAGTCTGAGTTTTCCAGTTGACAAACATTCCATGTGTGTTGTCATAGTTCATAGCTGGCTAGTTAAGCACATCTACTTCCCCCTAACTTTGCCCCATGCGTCTTGTCCCTTTGGTGACTTTGCTGTGATAAGTCACAGCCCTCAGTGTGGCTCTGCTCAGTCTTTGAGTCCAGTCTGGTGGCCATGGCCTCACAGATGACCTTGTCCAGAGATGGAGTAAGTTCAGTGTCAATGACAGCAGGTAGCATTAGTAACTACAGGTGCCTACGGCCTGTGAAAAGCCCAGGGTAGAAGGCTGATACCAGTGCCCTTTTTCCAGATTACTGCCTTCCTCCTCATCTGACTGTCCCCCATTTCCACAAAGGTCTTCCAGGACTTGTCACAGGCCCCCGAGACAGTGGCAGGGTGAGCTGAGCCTCTTGTGCAGCCTCATAGTCTCCTATAACCTGAGGGGTTTCACATCTGCAGTGCTGGCTGTGTGGCTGAGGGACTCGAGCTGCTGGGGAGTTAGGGTTCCCTCTATTTCCCGGCTCAGATCGGGATTGGGACTGAGATCCTAACATGGTGTGCAAGGGCTCAGGTGATTCATATGCTTGGTCACATATGAGGTATTGGTGGTCCGCTGTGAGCTCTGATTTTTTTTTTTTTGCTACCGGGGATCAAACTCTGGTCCTTGTGCTTGTGCAGCAGGTGGCAAAACCACTGAGCTAAATCCCCAGCCCTCAGCTCTGATGTTTGCTGAATGCCTGGTGCACCAGAGCTGAGCCTTCTGGATCTGCCACTGGTGGTCAGGACAGAGGCCTGAGCTGAGGTGGTCCTTCACCCAGTACCAGGTGTGCCAGTGTTCTGCCCCTTGGAGAGACAGGGTGGAGCATGGCCTTGTAGCATGGACCCCAGCTCCCTGGGAGCACATTTTTTGTTGCCTTCATTGCTGTATTTTGGTCTGATGGCACCAGGGACTCTCAGTCACCTCAATGTATGATTGTCCAGGCCTGCTGGGTGGTCCTAAGAAGCTGGATACCTGCACTATGCCCCTAGGGGCCCAGAAGCCACCCTTTCTGGTCTCAGTGATCTGGACCCTGCCAGTCTGGGCTGGCTTGGCAGATGTGCTGTTAGGAAACCCCCTATAGTTGTCATTTCTTGTTCTTGTTGGCTTCCCTGAAAGGCGGGAAGACCCCTCCCCAGGCCCAAAAAGTAGGGGTATTAGGGCTGTAGGAGGGTGTGCACAGGCAATATCAAGCATGACCCTGTGGCCTAAGTGGAGATAGTCCTGTGGCCACTGGTCCTGCCCCCTGATGGGAGACTGCTAACTGCCCCACATGGCTCCATCCATGTGTGTCTGCCTCATGGGCATCATGTGGCCTAGAAGATGTTGCCCCTTAACCTTGTCCATCCCTGTTTACAACCCTTCTATCTGGATCCTCTCCTGCCTGGGCCCTGACACCACACCTGTGCTTGTTTGATATAGTTATCCCCTCTGCCCACCCTGGCTGTCTCTAACCCTCAGCTCTGGCAAAGGAGGTGGGTCAGGTGCCCACTTGCATTGTGCTAGAGGGCCCTGGTATAGACCCAGTGGGAACGGCCCCAGCCAGCTTCCATGGTTATCATGGCTTAGCACTTTGGGGCCTGTGAGCCTGGTGCTGTGCCAGTGCTTATCTGCACTGTCCTTCATTTGAGGGTCCTTAGGGCTAAGGGGAGTTTTGGCTCACAGTGAAGGTGCAGGTGTAGGTGCCAGCCTCTAGGCAGTAGATCCCATCTTCATGGTGCTAGGTTTCTCATGGCAAAGAGGAAGAGCTATCCCATTGGTCTGAAGCTCTGGCCTCGGTCTAGCCTGAGACTAAGAGCTACAGATCAACCCTGACTTGGCTTTGGCTCCTCACTGCTCAGCTGCCTAGCAGTGAACCTGCACATCTTTGTTATGTCTGCTCTGCTGGGCTGTGAGGCTGTGTCTCCAGCAGCTGCCAAGTCCTGGATGTCTTTGAGTGGGCTGCAGCCTTAGGAAGGGTCTGAGTGGAAAGTGGCCTGTCCCGCAGGTGAGAGGGGAAGGAGGTAGAGAGCTGGAATGGTATCTAGCTGCCTGCCCTCCCATGAAAACTCGAGGGGGGAACAGAAGCACTGGCTGCTGTCTCCACTGGAGTTACCCTGGGCCAGGGGCAGAGGGCAGCCCTGTTCACCCCTCTCTTTGTGTGCCACCTTTCTTCCTAACCCCTTCTCTGTGTTGCCCCCCTTGCTCAGTTCTCTGCCCAGGAAGTATGGCAAGCTGTTGCTGCTGCAGTGTGTGCTGATTGGCTGATCTGTTGCTCTGGTGCTACTAAGGGATATGCTCCTACTCCCCTGCCTGCTTTGCTATCCCTGGGGCATTTCAAGAGGGTCACTGCTGGGGTGAGGGGTGTGTGTGTGTGTGTGTGTGTGTGTGTGTGTGTGTGTGTGTGTGTGTGTGTTTATTTTGGTCTCTGTAGCTAAGGGGTGGGCCTCGGATCTGCCCCTGAGGGGACCTGGCTTGTAGAATGAGCATAAAACAGCTGCAGTGGCACCAGGAGCTGGAGGGTAGGCGTGGCTTCCATATGTGGTTGCCCTAAGACAGTGCTTGTTTGAGGAGGTCCCTGGTTCTGCCCACAAGAGTATGAGACCCAGGAATTGCTACATTTGGCTCCCCAAAGCGTTCCATGACTCTGCGCTATGGCAGCACAGCCCCAAAGTTTCTTGCAGCCAGGATGGGTGGAGCACATTCGCAGGCTACTGTCTTGAGGAAGGGGATGGTCCACAGCTTAGGTGGTGTGCAGAAGAGCAGCCCCGATCCTGGGGTGGGGGCATGGTGGGCTCTGCCTGGAGTGGCCCTGCTCTTCCCTTTGACTGCCTGTGTCCTGCCTTGGCCCTTGCTGTGCCAGCTCCCATGGCAAGTACGACTTTCCTCCAGGGTGGAGCTCTTGAGTCTGTTTTGTTTTTTGGGTTTTTTTTTTTTTTTTTTGGTACTGGGGATTGAACTCGGGACCTTGTGCTTGCGAGGCAGGCGGCTAAACCACTGAGCTACATCTCTGGCCCTCTCAGTCTGATTTGATTGGTGGGAAGGTAGGGGAGTGGTGCTGTTTGTAGGACATAGTCTCACTGGCTTCAGTGACAAGGGGTGACAAGGCCAGGCTGCTCCTCCCCTTTTCTCCAGGAGGCTGGGGGTTGTAGCCACACTGTCCTATCTTGGGGTGTCCAGAAATGGAGTCTTTGGGATGGTGTTGATGCCCGTCTCTGGTACTGACGTCTTGCTTCAGACTGGTGCTATCTCCTGCAGTGCGGAGCAAAGCTCCCTCAGGGTCGCTTTGGGTGGGGCCTCCCTTGGGGATGTGACCTACCAGGCAGGGGTTTTCTGGCATGTTTGCAAGTAGTAAATGCCCCCTCTGCCAGCTGCATAGGAGCCCTTCTGTCCTGGGCATCAGGGGACACTGAGTTGGACCCTAGGTGGGTGTGGTTACCCTATGTCTCATCTGCAGAGAAAAGCCTGGAGCAGGAGCTGGTCACCCCCATCCTGGACATCGAGGACCTGGTCAAGAATGGGAGCAAGCACAAGTGAGATCACTCCTGTGGCCCCAGCTACTGTGTCTTTCCACAGTGGACCGTAGTGATAAGGGAGGCGTGGATATTTTTTCTTTCCACAAAACTAACAATTAGCATGAGAATTTAAGTAGTTTTGAGGAACATAAAGTGAAAAAATGACACTGCTTCCTCCCCCGGCTCTCAGCCTAATTCCAGTGACAACTGTGAGCAGTGTCTGTGTAGAAACACAGTCTTATTTACACATATTTTTTCCTGGGTTTTTTTTTTTTCTTCTTCTTTTTTTAAACAGGATCTTGCTGTATAGTCCTGGCTGGTTGGTTTTTTTGGTTTTTTTAGAGTAGCAAAAATTTATGAGAGAAAGTAGGCTCTGTCTAAGTAAGAGAGACAGAAGGAGGACTGGAAAGTAGGTTGCCTGTCCAGGCTGGTCTTGAACTCACTATGTAGCCCACACTGGCCTGGAACTTGCGAAAGCCCTCCTGCTTCAGCCTTCCAAGTGCTGGCATTACTGGTGTGACCCATCACACCCAGTTCCAGTTTCCTTTCTCAGTTGTATACCGTGGGTGGCTTTCCATGTGGGTGCTTGAAGCTTGGCCCCATTCCTTCTGAGGACATGAAATCTGCCTGTCTGTAGCTTTGTGGATTCAAGTCATAGTAAAGACTTTTAGGGCTGGGGGTGTAGCTCAGTGGTAAAGCACTTGCCTAGTGTGCATAAGGCCCTAGATTCCATCCTCAGCATTGCAAAAGAAAGGAAGGGAGGGAGGGAAGGAAGGGAAGAAATCCGCCAGGCTACATCAGCTTACATCAATGGGGAGAAGTTCTATTTTTTAAAGTACTTCTATGTTCTTTGTGTTTCTGATGACCTCTGACTAGGAGTAGGGTTAGGGTTTTGTTCTCTTTTTGTAGAGTTTTAAAATAGATAATATATTCACGTCAAAAACTCACATGGTTCCCCACTCGCCCCAGACACCAGTGCCCCTCTGAGGCCCTGTGTATAGGGACAGGGCTCCTCCTCGGTCAGGGTGTTGTGGCTCATGTCCCAGCTGTGCCTCCTGTGTATCTCTGGGTGGGCATTTACAGGGTACTCTCTCTCCTTGCTCCCAGAGTGTGCCCTTACTACCTTTCTCGGAACCTGAAGCAGCAAGCTGACATCATCTTTATGCCATACAATTACTTGTTGGATGCCAAGGTGAGGACTGAGCCTGTGTAGCTGATGACTCCTGATGTTGAGGTGCAGCCAGAACTTTGCAGTTCAGGCTCTCAGCAGCAGGTGTGGGTGGGAGGACCATGGTTCCCTTGGCCAGAAGCAGTGGTGAACAGCCCATGGCTACGCACTGGTCATTCTAAGCATCTTAGCAGTGGGCAGGCTGGCAGGAGTGAGGAGAACCTAGACTGGGGTCTCCAAGCCAGTGCCACCCCTGGGTTCTGACAACTCAGCCCAGCTTCCCTTTCAAATCAGCTGATTGGAGGTATAGACGACAAAGGAAACCTGAGTATTTTCCTGTGTATTCCTGAGCATTTCCTCATTCATGTCTTTTTAGTATGTGTTCATCTTCTTTTAACATAGATAGGATCATGCTCCATGAGTTCAGTGACTTGGACTTTCACTTATAACAACACTGTGGGTGTCCTCTGGTCTGGATCCCTTTGTTTATTTGTTCATTCCCATGGTGCTGGGTGCTATCCTAAGTGGAGGTAAGAATGAAACTATCATTGCTCCTACAGAGTTTAGATTGTAGTGGGGGAGATAGCAGAGGAGTCAGCACAAGCCAGTTGTTTCTTATTGAGGGGCTGAGTGAGCTTGAACAGGAAAGAGCCTCCCATGGATGCTGCAGAGCCAGTGTGGAGGCGAAGGGGAGACGTGAGTGGAGCGCAGCAGGTTGGGTGGGGATGCAGAGCCTTGTGGGAGGTAACCGTGTCTGTGGAGAACAGGGGTCAGACTAGGTGTGGAGGACCATCGAGGTTTGCTCCACTTGCAGGTGACATTCATTACTTGGTGCTTTCAACCCTCGCTGCCCATGGGAACCACCTAGAGAGCTGCTAAACACATGGGACTTGGGTCCTACCTGGGGTTATTACATCACAGCCAATACGCCAGCTTTAATGTTTACATTGGAATGCAAAAGAGGCTTTAATGTTTACATTGGAATGCAAAAGTTGGAGTTTGCTTGGAATGACCAGTGTGGGTTTGGAGACACACAGATTAGTGGAGCAGTTAAGCAAGTCCAAGAGACCCCTCTGCAGGCAGTACACGCCAAGTAAATTCAGCAGGAAAAGAATTATATATATATTTTTTAATTGTGCTGGAATATCCATTTGGAAAGAATGAATCTTAGCCTTTTGTACTGTGCAAACCTAAATGCAAAAGTTCCAGGGCCAGGGATTTAGCTCAGTGGTTCTGGCGCCTGCCTCAAAAGCGCAAGGTCCCGAGTTCGATCCCCAGTACCAAAAAAAAAAAAAAAAGTTCCAGAAGCATGCACCTGCCTTGCAAGCACAAGGTTCTGAGTTCGATACCCAGTTATCCCCTGCCCCACCCCCCCTCAAAAGTTCCAGAAGCAATGGGGGAGGCAGTCTTTGCAGGTTTGGGATAGGTCAGACACCCAAGGATCATAACAAAAAGTTTTAAAAATTGGGGCAAGTGTGTTGTTACACACCCGTAGTCCCAACTTCTCAAGAGGCTGAGGCAGGAGTATCACAAGTTTGAGGCCAACCTGAGCAATTCAACAAGACCTTGTCTCATAATAGAAAGGGCTGAGGATATATCTGAGCGTACAATGCTTGCCCAGCATGTGTCAGGCCCTGGGTTCAATGCCCAGTATCCCAGTACAAAAAGAACAAGTGTTGAGAATGTTGAGATCAAGAAGTCTCATATGTGGCTTGTGGATGTGTAGCTGGTACAGCAGCTCTGTGAACACGGTGTGCCCGGCAGCCCCACTGCAGGAAATGAAGGCCCAGAGACTTCTAGACCTACAGTTGCCAAAAGCAGGAAGCAGGTCCTGGTGGGTCTCCCCGGGACCTGTCAGTCGTGAGGATTGCGTGGCTGGTTGCAGCCACGAGGAGTGGATGAGTTTCACACGGGCAGACCCAGGAAGGATGGCACAAGCCAAGTCAGCTGTTAACGTGACACTGGAGAAGGTAGTGGAGAGGTGGTGGCTACACTGTACACACATCTGTCAGACCCAGCTGTATGCTTATGTGGGCATTTTATTGTAAGAAAATTAAGCTCCAGATTAAGTTAGTTAAGAAAAATACAATGCTGGAGCCCTCCCCAGATACTTTGTGTCAGGCTCTGGGGAAGGTCTGGGTGGTGGAATTTTTATCTCCCCAAGTGTGCACCAAGTGCATAAGGAGGGGTGTGCACCTCTACGGCTGCCTTGCTGCTGTGGCCAGGCTCTTGTGGTTCCTTGGCTACGCTTTTGTCACAGCACATGCTCTTCGTGCTCTTTGTGAACCCTTCCCTTGGACAGATGCCTAGCAAGTATGTAGCTGCCAGTCAGCCTTGGGTAGGTGTTGCTAGGTTGCTATTCAAAACCAAGTTTGAGCAGTTGCCACTTCTGAGAGTCAGGTATGAGGGCCTTTTCTTTGTGCTCCAGCAGTTTGTATGGTCTGTGCTCGTGACGTTTGTGGCCTACCATAGGCCTCAGCTTCCCTCTTTCCCTGCCCTGCTTGGCTTCAGCGTGTTCTCTTTTCCCTTCTTCCTGTAGAGTCGCAAGGCACACAACATTGACCTGAAGGGCACTGTCGTGATCTTTGATGAAGCTCACAATGTGGTGAGTCTCTGTTGCCCCTGGGCTAAGGGCCTGGTGTTTCTCCTGGATTTCTAAACCTATTTAGAGGAACTCTAGACCCTAGGGGGCCAGCTGTTAGGCGTCAGCAGACCCAGGCACTCTTTCTGCCTTGCCTCCTACAGTCAGATGTCTCCGCCAGAGCTGGAGGCTGGCTAGCTGGGCCTTGGATGTACCTTCAGGCACAGGATCCACACATAGGCTCCTATCAGATCCCTGTCCTGGCTGGCTAGTGGTGACAGCCTGGGCCTGCACTCTGCTCTGTCATCCTTCCTGCACTGTCTGATCTTTGGCCTTTTTGGCCTGATACTTGGAAGACTGTTGTGTCGAGAGCTGCTTACCACTGGTGGCTATAGCAGCAGATATGGCCCCTGCAGACCCTCCTGGTTCCCATCATCCTTTGTTCCCAGCACACTTCCACATAGAACTTATCCCTGCCTCTGAGCTACTGCTCAGGGGTGTGTGTGTTTCCAGGAATGGCCTTGTAGGAAGGCCACATGGGATGCAAGGCCTGACTTCTGAAGTCTGGAATGAGGCTTCATGAGATCTGGGCTCTCTGGGGCAGGGCCTGGTGCCCTGGGACGGCGGGACCACCTGCAGCCTCTACTTGAGTGCGAGGTGGTGGGCAGGGTGCCAGATCTTCTGGCTTTGGTGTGGTTTTTTTTTTTGGTACTGGGGATTGAACTCGGGACCTTGCGCTTGCGAGGCAGGCGTCGGAACCACTGAGCTGAATCCTTGGCCCAGATCTTCTGGCTTTGGCTTTTCTTTTTTTTTTTTTTGGTACCAGGGATCGAACTCAGGTCTTTGCACTTACGCAGCAGGTGGCAAAACCACTGAGTTAAATCCCAGGCCCTAGCTTTGGAAATACAGATTTTAATGGGAAATTTCCCAGTTGTAAACTGTTGGCAGTACAAGTGAAATAATGGTTTAAAGACATTGATGTGGGCCAAAGTTGTTTGGACAGCCTGTGAGCTGGCCTTAGCACCAGGGGCCTGGGCTCTGGGAATTTCCTGTCAGCTTCCAGCACCTTCTGTATGCCCACTTCTTCCTGGATGCCTGACCTTGCCTTGCTCTGCTCTGCATGACAACGGTGTACTTGGGCTCTCAGGAGAAGATGTGTGAGGAGTCGGCCTCCTTTGACTTGACGCCCCACGATGTGGCTTCAGGACTGGATGCCATTGGGCAAGTGTTGGAGGAACAGACCAGAGTGGTACAGCAGAGTGAGCTCCAGCTGGGGCTCAGCTTGGATCCCACCAGCTCAGGTGAGTTTACAGCCAAGAACCAAAGGATGAGCTCAGGGGTGGAGTCTGACCCTCCCCAAGGCCAGAGTTGCTAGAGATTGTAGCCCTGCATGGTGGCTGTGTCAGGTCTTCTGGCGCCTTCTGTCCAGGTGGCATTTTAGGATACCAGCTTGCTGAGAATCATCTTGACCAGGGAAGGCTGCATTGTCCCACAGTTCCAGCATTTTCTTTATGTCCTTTCTCAGTTGGTACTCATTTGCCCTTGACTGTGTAAAACTGAAAAACCAAGCATTTTTACTAGCGAAGAGTATTTTAGTGACCTCTGAATATACTGCCACATATAACTTGCCTTTTCCAGCTTCCTTTTCAGTCTTGAGAGGTTGTGTTTCCACAGTAGTGATCCTAGGACACAGTGATCATCCATGCATGTGGTAGTTTGTCCATATTTGGACATGGCCTCTGTCAGCAGGGGACTAAGAGCCCGAGTTTTCCCAGAACACTTCAACAGACAGGACACTGCTACACGAATGTCTTTGGGTATGCTGCTGCATTGCTTACTGAATGTGGGGTGGGTGTCTTAGTCACTTCCTCCTTGCTGAGACACACTACCCCACCCCCACAACTTAAAGAAGGAGAGGTTTATTTTGGTTCCCAGTTTGTAGAGGTTTCAGTCCATAGTCAGCTGGCTCTAGGGCAGGGTGGAAGCAGAGAAACTGCTCTATGGTATGTGGGCAGGAAGCAGAGAGAAATCAAGGGAGGAAGAGGGAGATAGACCCTGCCAGGCCACGCCCCAGACACCACCTCTTCTGAGCAGGCTTCACCCTGGACACCACATTATCAGTGGACTCATCCACACTGATGAGGATCACGCCCCATGGTCCAGCACCTCCCCAAAGCCCACCTGTGAGGCCATGAGGTCTTGGGGGCATCTAGCTATAAACCGTGGCCATGGGTGTGCACAGCCTCAGCTTCCTGCGCTGTCCTCTGAAGTCCCATATGGAGTCTGTCATGGGCAGCCCTATCTTGGCCCTACTCACCAGCATCTGCCTCTGCCCTTTCTGCTGGAGACCCCAGGGCTCTTGTGGTATGTTCACATGCCTGCACTGATAGAGGGTTTGCTTGGCACAGAAATTTTGACTTCACATTCTCTCTCCACATTCTTAAAATTTTGTCTCTCCACATTCTTAAAAATGACTGAACTTTGTTTTTGTGAGTTATATGTATTGACACAATTACTGTATTGGAAGTGAAGACTTAGAAATTGAAAATTTTTTGTTAATTTCTTTAACAAACTATTACACATTAGCTTAGCTTCCCAGTGCTGCTGTTACAAAGTATCACAAACTGGGAGCTATAAAACAGAAGACCCAGACGAAGAGCTCAGAAGATTTGGCTCCTCTGGGGATCCTAAAGGAGAATCCGTGCCTACCTCTCTCAGCTTCTGGCAGCTGCCAGCAATCCTGGGCTTGTGGCTGCATCAGCCCCATCTCCACTGCCCTCTAAATATCATCTTCTCCCCGTGTGTCTGAGTCCCTGTGTCCCTTTCTCATAAGGACCTCAGTCATGTCCCAGTGCACTGACCTCATCATCATTGGATCCCTTCTGTGAAGATCCTCACCTTTCCCAGGTTCTGGCAGCTGCCACATCCCTCCGCTCATGGCCAACATCATTTTTACCTCTGCTTTCATCCTCATTTTCACTTCTCTGACTCTCCTGCTGCCCTTCTGCTCAGCGAGGGCCCACCTGGATAATCCAGGACAATCTGCCTGCCTCAAGATCCCTACTTTAATCATACCTGCAGAGTTCTTTGCCATATAAGGAGATGTAGTCATAAACTCTGGGGATTAGAACCTGGTGGCTTTGGAGGCTAGGATTCTGCCTGCCACAGCTCTGGAAGATTACAATATGCCATAATAAAATTATGCAAATGTGCCCCTCATCTTGTACCTTAGATCTTAGAAACCTTTGCATGTAATTGTTCTCCTTTCCTTACTATGTTGAGAGCTTTCAAAATGTCACTTAAAGGAGGCACATTACGGTTTCTCCTGACATATCTGAATTACCAGTATCACTACTCTTGCTCTTGGGGGCCATTATTAAGTTCAGAAAGGCTATTGGAATGTAAGCACTGTGGTGCTGCAGCAGTTGGTGTGATAACTGAGAAGGCTGCTGAAGGCTGAGTAACCATGGGCACCTAGCCTATGCATATGGACATGCAGAATAAGGGGCCATTTATGCCCCAGGCCGGATGGAGGATGGCACAAAATGTAAACCTTACAAATAGATTTTTTCTGGAATTTTCCATTCAGTAACTTTGGACTGTCTTGACCTTGGGTAACTGAAACTATGGAAAGTGAGTCTACAGATAAGCAGGGACTGCTGTAGTTTCTGAAACTTCCCTCCCTCTCTCCCTCTCTCCCTCTCTTTCTCTTTCTCTTTTTCTATCCTTCCTTCCTTCTTTTCCTTTCCTTTTCTCTCTCTCTCTCCCCTTCTCTCCCTCTCTCTCTCTCTCTCTGAACAAACTGGGACATTAACATCAATATTACAGATGATCTTCTGTTTATAATAGTCTGACTCAGGATTTTTTAGCTTTACCTAAAGCTAAAAATATAACCATGGTGCAAAATTATATGCAATTCACTAAAAATTATACTTTGAATTCTGAAGTTTTGTCTGTTTCCAGGCTAGCAAGATGCGGTCTGGTCTGCCCAATGCTGGGCAGCATGGTTGCAGCGTACTGTGTTGCTAAGCTATGATGCTCGAGAGGTGAGGCATATTGAGGCCTTGAGTATGGTACAGGGCGTTGAACCCAGGGTGTTTACCACCCTTTCTGTTTTTTAAAATTTTGAAACAGGCTCTTGCTAAGTTGCTAATTTTTCTGGGCTGAGCTCAAACTTGGAGTACTCCTGGTTTAGTCTCCTAGAGTGCTGGGATTATAGGTTTGTGCAACGGTGCCTGGCTTCTCTGTTTTTGGTGGTGGTCGTGGTACTAGGAACAGAGCCCAGGGCCTCATGCATGCTAGGCAGAGTGGCTCTGCCATTGAGCCACATCCCCATCCCTTAAGGACATTTCACCAATGATATTTTCATCTTGAGCTGTGTTTACGGGAATGTAACCCTATCACAGCTGAGCCTGGTGAGGCGGCACGTGGCTGTAATCCCAGCACTTGGGAGGTTGAAGCAGGAAGATTACCAGGAGTTTGAGTCCAGCCTGGGCTACAAAGAGAGACCCTGTCTCACAAATCCAAAAGAAAAAAGTTTCCTGCCTGTTTTCATAGCCCCCGATGTGAAGGAACACAGTACGCTCTGTAAACTGACTTGCTGTCGGCTCGTAGGGCTTCCTAGGGACAGGGCCTCACATCTGTCTTCCATGGGTGTGGCGTTTGGAAGGGCTGGTTATTTTGTCAGTGGTCTTGCAGTTTGTCTTTGTCTGATGTTTCCTTGCAGCTGGACTTGAGTTCTGTGTTTTTACCCAGAAGTGAGGTGCTCTCTGCATGTGTCACGTCAGGAGGGGCAGCATGTCCATGTTACGCACTTGGGGCAGCAGCTCAGTCACTTGATTCACATGGATCTGCCAGGCTTCTCCACTGTGGAGTCTTTTTTTCTATTTGGAATTCTGGAGTCATGTGTGGCATTCCTTAGTGATTTGTCCCTGAATTAATGCATTAATATGATGTTTGTATCATCTTCTAGCCCCTTAACTTCTTTAATTTCTTAGTTGGGCTCCTGTACAAATGAGGTTTGTTGTTTTGTTTGATAGGGTCTTGCTGTGTAGCACAGGCTGGCTTTGAACTTATAAACTTGTCTTAGCCTCTTACTGTTTTGTGTTGTGAGATACAGGGTATGTAGTTCAGGCTGGCTTTGAACTCACTGTGTAGCGCAGATTGGTGTAGACTCATGATGATCCTCCTCCTCAGCCTCTTGAGTGCTGGGATTGCAGGTGTGCGCCACCACGCCTGGCTCTGACTCATGGATTCTTGTTTAATTCATTGGACTATAATCTCTTAATATCCTTATTCATTTAGTATTCGAATTGTTCTCAGTTTGGCAAATGGGCCCTCCAGGCCACGCTGTGCCTGCTGACATGAGTCAACCGCTCTAAGCATGACCTGCCTTTCCGGGGTGAGGTTTTCCTGGCTCACCTCACCTTCCTCAAGGAGCCCAGGACTGGCAGGTGCCTCAGGAGCCCCATCTCCTGTCGGAGGGGGGCGTTCGACAGCAGGGCCTAGGCTGTGTCCGTACTTGTTGCTCCAGGGGTGTTATAGATGCACACACACTCATCTCGCTGTGGTGCGTGTGTGCGTAATCATGACTCATGTTTGCTTCTCCAGTCCTGGGCCACACCGTAGGGTTAGTCCAATTTTCTCCACACCCGAATTTCTTGTTTTGTTTTGTTTTTTTGGTACCAGAGATCAAACTTGGGACCTTGCTCTTGGAAGGCAGGCAGTGGAACCACTGAGCTAAATCCCCGAGCCTCCATACCCGTATTTCTAATCTCCCCGCTTTTAAAATCCGCCTCCCTTTTTTTGGTACTGGGGATTGGACTAGGGACCTTGCACTTGTGAGGCAGGTGGCACCACTGAGCTGAATCCCCGGCCCTAAAATTCCCTTTTTGACAGTAAGAAAACTCACTTCCACTTTCTCCAACATATTTACCTGTTCAATCCTAGGATACCTGGACATTTGTTAGAATTGTTAACCTACCCATGATAAGTGAAAAATTTGCTCACTAGAGGTCCATTTTTGTTCACATGTTTTTTGTCACTGGTCTGAGAGTGCATAGTCAGAATACTGTGTTTATTTCCTCCTCCCACTTCATTGTAGTTATTTTATTCATTGCAGTTTTGCTGTTTCTGTATGTCTTTAATTTTATCCCATTTTTCTGTAGTCATGTTAATTTTACTATTACTTTTTTGATATTTAAAACATTAATATTATTTCAGAACTCTAAGAAGGAATATGCAAGAGAAGTTTTTGTTAGTTTTTTGTCTGTTCTCCCTTCATTCCCTCAAATAATGGATT